AGCAATGCTGTACCCTGTTGTGGAATCATGTCTTTCGGCGGAATCTTAAAGGCTTGGACAGGTATAAACTCAACAGAGAAGCCAAAGAAGAAGAATCAGTCCTTGCAAAGGAAAAGGTTGTAGAAAATTTGATGTCTTTTCTTATGACATAAAGCAAAAGATGAAAACATTGTGTTTTAGCAGAAAATGCGTTTGGAAGTGGTATAAAACGAAAGAAATTTTATAAACCAATTCAACAAGATGAACCTATTGCTTCTACTCTAATTTCGAACACACCTACAAGAAAAGTTAGTTGTATATTATGTGACCCGTCTTCATTCATATCATGATTGTAAAAAATTGTCAGCAATGAGTTCCGACAACAGAAAATCTCAAGTTATGCGACAGAAATGCTTCCTTGTTTGCCTTAAGCCTTGTCATAAGTAAAAAATGTGCTATAGTAGCGTAAAATGTTTGATTTGTGGAAGGAGGCACTACGCCTTACTTTGTACAGGTATAAGCAAAGATATTAATTCCTCATAAAAGGACTAAGTAGCAGATGAAGAGCAAGAACCTACAGAGACTCTGTTGACAAAGCTTCCCCAGAATATAAATTTATTTGAAATAATTACGGTCAGATTACGGCACGGGGCAAGGAGATCAGTGTGTGAGCATTAAAAAATGATGAATCACGTCGTTCTTATACTGAGGAAAGCTTAGCTGCTGCACTAAATCTTTCTTCTTTCGGAAAGAAAGTGTTAGTTCAAGGACTGTTTGACGGATGAATTTTCCGGCTGCTGAGCATAACACGAAGGGTGATCCAAAAAAAAAGTTTACAAGGCAAATGAAAAAGTATTTATTAACAATAGAAACAAGATACAAATGGGAATCAAGAGACACATCTGGCCTTCACATAGTCGCCAAATCTGTTTAGGCATTTGTCAGAACATTCGACCAACTTGTTTATCCCGTCTTGGTAGTAATCAGGGCCCTGCTCATTGAGCCATTTCTCGGCAGCTGTTTTCACTGCATTGTCTGAGGTGAACCGTGTTCCGGATAAGTATCGCTTCAACGCCTAAAAAATGAAATAGTCACTTGGAGCCAAATCGGGGCTGTATGGGAGTGATTCCAGATCTCCCACTTGAACCTTTGCAGCAATTCTTGAGTCTGGCGAGCTGTATGGGGCATGGCATTGTCATGCAGAAGAATGACGCCTTTGCTCAGTACTCCGGCCGTTTGCGGGATGGCTTTACGCAATTTCGTTAGGTGGCACAATACGATCGCCTTAATGGTATGGCCACGTTCCAATACTCGATAGGATAACACCAGTCGTATCCCAGAAAACGGGTGCTCCCTACGACTAATAAAGATTCAAATCGATAGATTGTTATGTTTGCATACAAAACTTATCATAAAGTACATAAATTATCTATGTTCACTCAGTTTCCGTAGAGCAAAATTAGAAAAATTCTAATATTTTATTAGAGAAGTTATGTCTCCCAAGTGATTAATTCATCTTCTTGGAACAAAATGATAATGTAAAAATTTGTAGGTTAAATTTAAATTTATAAGAAAATTCTAACATTGGCAACTGAAATGTCATCTTTGTGACATTAAAAAATCACGTTATTAAAGATTTTAAATTAGGAAAATTAAAGTTGTTATTTTCTCTCTATATATTTTTAAATTTTATTTATTTATTTATTATTTATTTATTTGCCCAAAATAAATTATCAGTATGTGTGCGTATGGAGGGAATATATAGATGGATGAATGGAAGAGAAAGCAGATGATTACATGATCAAAGTGCACTTCCGCAGCCCAGTCCCCATGACCTGAATCAGACACTCAATGCAGATACTCCCGCAAAAGAAGCTGGCCATACTATAAATGCTTGCAGAGAGAAGAATCTCCTAAATACTCAATCACTTCTGGAGAGTGTTAAGTGAAGGCTGTAGGTGCCCATACATGTTCTCTAAGGACGTGGCGCTATATCAATTGACCATCGTGGTAGAGGGATGGTGCCCATGCCCTCCGTCACTTATATGTTCTAAGAGACTTAAATACAGAGAATGTGGGGGCCACTCCATATGCTGGATTCCTTCACTCTCAAGATAATCAGTCATTATCACAATAGGGATAAGTTATGTTATCCATTAGGCAGAAGTTATTGCACTGCTAAATATCAGGTTGCACTGGTGAAAATGTGTAAGGCAGTGCAGCCATTCAGAATGATGTCCATCCATACTACAGTCCACAACCTTTGTATCGTTACCTCCATTTATGGATGTTTTCAGTCCCCCCCATCTCCGAATTGTAACACATTTAGAATTACTCTCCAACAAAAACAAAACTGAAGAGAATTTGGCTGCAGTCCATGGTACTGTAATCACAATGATCTCTTCATCCCAGCACCCAGGTGCATTTTGCAGCCATAAATGACACTCCATAAAGCCCTCTTCTGTGCAGCCTGTCTCTCAGGCTCTGGATAGTTGAGTTCCTGTGGCTCCTTTGCTATTTGGTCAGTTTGGTTTCTTTTAGGGGTCATTGCTAAATAACAGTCCTGAGAATCTGTTTTTGACCTTGACTATATTGTCTGCATATGCCACCACTGCCTTTCAACCATTTCCAAATTCTTGATCTGATACTTTTGGTTTTTCTTATGTTTTTACAGACATGTTAGAATCTGCCCTGCTTCCATTATGTCAGTCATACACCATATATCCAACAAATAACAACAAACTGTAACAGCAAAATTGATAGTTTCTACTTTATAGGATGCAGACCATGGCAAAACTAATAATTTTTATGATATGGTTTGTGGAGAATATGAAATACAATTAGTACATAGGACATGGAAAACAGAAAGTTATTTGATATTTAATTGTTGTTTAAATGAATCACCAGCAACTATAATCATGCATCACAGTGGTAATGGATATTAACAAGGCAAAAGTTGACTCAACTGAAGATCTTATTAGATTTGCCTTCACTTCTGCAGAAGTATATAACATGTTGAGTATCTTCCAAGAATAATACAGTCATTTCATCATTATTTAAATACTTGTATTTACAAGTATCAAACGCTATTTCTTGTAAATATCTGTGGTTGAAACGACTTTTTGTTTTTAGTTCTCTTTAAACTTACTATGCTTCTACATATTTATTCTATCATACATTATGTTGCAAAAATTGTTACTTTCCCTGTTTTCTGTCACTCCTTAAAGTTGTGACCATCAATTCTATTATGTCATGTATATAATAAGTAGTTGTTTTAATGATAATTTATTATGAGAACTGTTTCATTACATGTCAACTAGTACAAAAATTCTGTGTCCGAGACCAAAATATGGTTTATTTTAATTGATTGTTCATTCTTATGTTCTTTTGTTTTAGAATACAGTCAAAAGTCGTTAATTCGGACACCCATAATCCATTCCGGATTATGATCTATCGTCAACGCGGCAGAAAGTTTTTAGCTTTGAGGTCCAGATTATAGATCATTATGGGTTGTCCGAATTAACGACTTTTGAGTGCATTTTATTTGGCTTATAATTCCTTACTAAATGTGTATTTCTCTCGAAGTACTCCGTCTTTGATATGATTTAAATCAAGTTCCTCATTATAATTTCGCTTCCGATAGTGAAAAGTGATACAGAGCTTATTGAAAACGAAAAAATTTCGATTGACAAATTAGTCGGTATTCTCGACACAACAATTATATGGACTTGAACAGCGGAACTTTGTAACTAAACAAGAAATTAGTCTGTTTAATAGAATTAAAGAGAAAGTATATATCACATGAACGAAGCAACTTAAACTTACATTGAAAGAAAAATGTTTAATAAAGTAAACAAATAAATATTTAGCTTTTTTCTTTTGTAAATTTTGATACCCTTTAGATCATAATTGCTCTTATTTCATAAATTACGGTTTCATATTTTTTAATTTTATAATTTCTGCATGCCATCTTACCAGATTTAAACTGATGATCTATAATCCGGAAAAAATCTAATAATCGCCGAAGTCCCGACGAGTCCGGATTAACGACTTTTGATTGTATGAAGAATCGTTATAATCCACTGTGTCTAAATTTGTTTTAGAGTAGTGAAGTTTCTTTAGGTAAACTTATGTTAAATACCAATCTTCTAAATCTTATATTTCTGTTTCCCTTAGACATCTTAGCAAAAGAGAGCAACGGATTTTGCAAAGAAGAAAGCATGTAGAAAATTTACTTCAATGGCAAATGAAACTTGATAGCGAAGAAATGGCAGTCAGAGAACTTGAACAGAAAGCTCTGGAGTTAGTAAATCAGAGCAAAAAGAAAGCAAAATACTATGTTTCTTCTTCCTCAACTCCACTTAATGGTATTTTTCTATGTTTTTATAGATTCGTAGAAGTATATATTTCTGAAGTTGCTTATAGGTCTAATTTAACAACAATATAAAACTGAAATTTGAATTCCTGTGTTAGTTTTAAGCATAGTTACTTTAGTAATTAATTTAAAAGATGTAATAATATGAATTTGAAACTATTGTCATTTGAATAATCTTTACATAGTGGAATGACTTTATATAACCTTGTATAAAAATAAATGCAGAATGTTTTTGAAAAATATCTAATAACTTAAAATGATTTCAATTCTTCATATATATTTAGAATATAGTATATTTATGCTTGAATTTGGTACATGCGAATTCTTTATGTTGTTTACTTTTTTGATTTAAAGAAATGCAAGTTTAAATTAAAAAAGGAGTTGTAAAGGAGTTTTATTTACTACAAAAATTTGTTATTTTAGACAATGCAACACAAAAATCTGAAGTCATTGACGAGACATCCATTAATTCAAAGCATTCTCTGAGTAACACATTGTCTTCAACAGAAACACCTTCTAGCATTATCAGCCATATTTCTGATGGTAAACAAGTTGAATCCATTGTTGAAGAACACTTAGAGATTTCTGGAAGCAGTACCATTGAAGATATTGTAGCTGACAAAGAAAACAGTAGTCCATCTAATGCTGTGCCATCAGGGTATGTATACTTTGAGTTAAAAAAAAATTGGTTAGTTTTTATTCTTTTTTTAGTGCTTGCCAAAACCACCTTAATGGGAAACACCAAAGTTTCAGAATGTGTCAGACTTCGACAACCACGTGTGTAACAGTTTTTCAGGCAAACCATGCATATTACAGTTCTTCAGGCAAACCATGCGTGTTACAGTTCTTCACTTTTAACAACCAACATTGCCTTAATCAAAAGGATTGTTAGATAGTTCTCTCTCAGTCACATGTTGTGTGTTTCTTAATACTATATCATTATTTTTAAACCTGTTTATTTGTGGGGTTAAGGAAATATTTGTGTTGCTGCAGTGTTTAGGAAAGGATTTAATTGTGAAAAAGACTTAATATTCTGTGTATAATAATAAAGTGCATTTGGTAAGCAGCTAACATGTAATATTGAGATTATGCAGTTCTTTGATTTTCTAAGTGAAAATAGATTGCTATGTACATGGGGGAAAGAAAAATTACAGAACGATTTGGCAAAATAAAAAAAAAAAAATTTTAAAAAAGTTTTATTTTTTTAATTTTTTAATGTATCATATAATTGTTATTTAATAGTTAAAATTTATATTTTAAGTTGGTAAAGTGATTTTCTGTTGGTAATGTTTGCCAGCTTACAATAAGTATCGATAATTTGGAAATGTTTTTTAAAAAAAGGCCAACTTGCACTCAGTAAATAACTTTCCAAATTCACGAAGTGCACCAAGTTGGTGGCACTAATGTGCAAGTGCCCTTTTTACTTCCTTGTACAAAGTAAAAAGGAAGTATTGTAATCGTGAATATATTTCAAATAAAATATCCATTTTTAGCGCTTTCGAATTAATTTAACCATGTTTTTGTACACAAGGACAGAATAAAAGACCCTTTTCCTCAAAAAAAAAAAAAAAAAAAAAAAAAAAAAAATTATAAAGCTGCTGTAAAATTCTGAAGAGAATGTTTCATGGTGTCTGTATATACGTGTGTATGTATCTCTCGCATAACTCAAAAACAAGTAACCTCAGAACGTTGAAATTTTGTATATAGGACTGCTATAACATGTAGATGTGCACCTCATATTTTGGTTTAAATATATTTATATATGTATCCAATCTCTTACCTGGCTCAGTGATCTCAGTTTCTTTACTCTTATATGTTTGTAAATTGTGCATTTTTCTTTAAAAATGATTGAATTATGCTGTTCTTATCTTCCGGTTAAAGTTTTTATGCCTTTAGGACATGTTTGTTTACATTTGAAACAGCAAAGTAGTAGATTTATTGCCAATCTAGAGAGACTAAGCTTCGCAACAACAAAGATAATGCCTTCATTTATTATTGTGAATTAAATCGTGCTTAATCCTTTTTGGAATTTTTTCAAGGAAATAAGTGTTTAAGATTTGCTTCGTAATTTTTAATATAGATATTTTGTTTTTTTATGTATTTTTGTCTTGTCGCGAAATGAGAAACTGAATTAATTGAATAAAAAATAGTGAATCGTCTGTGAAAAACTTTCTTTTTTGTTTTGTTTGCTTAATTTCTTTTATACATCATTCTAAATTTATTATAGTATTTGAATAGAACATGTGGCATCGATTAGGTAATTCTTCAAATGATATAAATTCTGTGCATTCTGAGTTATACAGTACAAAGTCCGTAATCCGGACGTCCATTATCCAGAATGATCTATAATCCAGACCTCAAAACCCGTTTACGCATGCACATTAATGCACGTTGGGAGAATGTGTCTCTAAATATGTTAAAAAATGTTGCCATAATTTATGGCCAGCTACCATATTTCATGGTGAGGACGATGAAGATGATAGCCGCGAATTTGAAGGTTTTCGATCATTGCAAACTAAAGGTGAAATTTTCCAGTTATTGGATTTTGTAAAGAATTGTGGAGAAGCAGTAATAAATTAAGATGATAAAACAGAAGTTTTTCATTGTGACTACAATGCCCCAATCATCAATCAATTAACAAACGGCAAAATCTGTAGTATGGTTCTAGATCCAGAAAATACCACTTCCGATAGTGAAAAAAGTGACAGAGAGGTTATTGAAAACGAAAAAATTTTGGTTTAGAAGTTAGTTGGTATTCTCGACACAGCAATTACAAGACTTGAACAGTGGAACTTTGTAACTGAACAAGAAATTATGTTTGTTTATAGAATTAAAGAGAAAGTATTAGCACAAAAAACGAAGCAGCTTAAACAACTTACATTGAAAGAAATGTTTAATAAAGTAAACAAATAAATATTTTTTTTGATACCTTTTATTTAGATCATAATTGCTCTTTATTTCATAAATACTTCATATTTTTTTTATTGTATAATTGCTGCATGCCATCTTACCTGATTTAAATTGATGATCTATACTCCAAAAAAACCCCTAATCCGGAATTGCCAAAGTCCCGACGAATCCGGATTACGGACTTTGTACTGTAATATGAATGAAATATAACGCTGTTAAGTGAGTCTAGCGCCAGAGTGTTGCTATGGTAAACAAATATAGTGAATTTTAAAGAGTGCATTTATTCTATTATGGTTTATGGGATATCGGGGAAGTAGATTTAATTCAATCCAATAAGTTTAAATTAAATGCAAGAAAAAATGTATTATTCCATACAAGAAAGTCATGTTGTGTACACATCAGATTTTTTTCTTCTTACTGCCATGCCAATTTAAATAATTTAATGGGAATAAAGCGAATAAGGGCTTTCTTTCAAAACTTCACCTTTGTTTTCAGTAAAGGGTTTCCTGGATTTTTATCTTTTTCCTGAATCAAGAACCAGTGAAGGAGACTTTCAGCTCAGTGGCTTTTAATTTTTTTCTGTACTACAAAGACACTGCATTCACAAGCATCTTGTGCCGTACCTACAGTTCAAACATATATGAGGGCAATCCCAAAAAAAAGGTCTCCTATATTTTTAGATATACAAAGAACCGTTTATTTTCTATAATTGCTACATCACTTTAAAGATTGAAGAATGCTTTATTTTTCAACATAATCGCCATTTCGGTCGATGCATTTTTGTAGACTCTGTGGCAGTTTTACTGTGCCCATGTCATACCAGCTTGCCACCATGCCCTTCAGGAAGCGTCAATCGAGTCCAAGAAGTTGTCTTTTTCATCTCCATAGCGGCGAAGAAATTCGCGGGAAGAATCAACCCGTTGCCATTTGTGATCTTCTGTCAGCATACGCGGCACCCATCTTGCACACACCTTCCAATATTGCAACTTTTCCGTTAAAATCCTGTGGATGGTGCTTCTGGAAACCATCCTGTGGATGGTGCTCAGGAACCAAAATGCAGATCCTCTGATCTTTACGCATGAGTTCCTCAACTTTCGCAATTGTCTCGTCGGCAATTGACAGCCTCCCGCTCCTTTCTTCGTCATGAATTTTGGTACGACCGGCTGTAAACTCTTTACACCACTTGCGAACATTTTTGACATCCACGCACGACTGTCCATACACTTCCATCAATAGGCGATGAATTTCAACCGGTTTAACACCTTTTGCGTTCAAAAATCGAATAACTGCGCGCACTTTACACTTGGCGGTAACGTTTATCAGAAACTCCATTTCGAATGGCTGCCAAGCCAAGACTGAGCATCCTAGCGAAATGCCTGCGTGCTTATGTGGTAGCGGAGAAGGCACCACTCACAACAGTGTTGCCAACAACCGTATTAAAACTTTTTGTACGTCCCCAAAAAATAGGAGACTTTTTTGGGGGGATTGCCCTCGTATCTAAAGACATGAGAATATATCTAACAATATCTAAATAAATGTATATCAAAAATTTTTCCATAGTAATTTGTTAATTATTGTGGTAATATAATACTTGTAATTTACATAATTAGAAAAATATAAGTCTGTAATCACTAAAGTAATTGATAAATATTTAAACATCAACACATCAACAATGTGTATGGGTTGTTTAAACAATAATTTAAATATATTGCTTCTTTTAAAAAATTTCAAATAATAGCATTTCATCCATTTTTAATGATTTAAAATCTTAATGTTGTTTTAAAAAATTAATGGCAATCTAATTGAATTAATTCTGCTAATTTGTTTTTATTATTCACTGTATTGCTAGTAAAAGAAAAATTTTGGTGATTTGAAATATTTTGTAATAATTCTTAATGTATATGAAGGCAGTGTTTGTTTATTGTAGTTTTCTTTTCTTGGAGTAAGTTATACATTTAGGTTGTTTGTTTCCAGCTCATTTCAAGAACTAAAAAATGGCAGTTCAGAGTCGTCAATAAAAACCATCAATGATACTGCGGAAAGTTCTCATCTGGAAGAGGAAATCAATACAGATGAAAATTTTACAAAATATGTGTAATTAAAATTCTTTATTTTTATTTCTTTTGTATCATTTACAAAATTATGTGTACTTGACTCCGTAAGCAGTTAGTTTTGGGTATTTTCATCGGACATATGCTAGCTTCAATTTTATTTACCGTATACTTCTGAGTGTAAACCAACAGGTATGATTTTGCAGTAGAAATTCAGCCCATACAAAAACCAAAATTGAAATCTTCTTACAAATCCAGCTATATGTTTGAATGAAAAAAACAGTAATTTGGTATAAATATTATTTAAGCGGGAGTACTTTCGGTGATTAAACATTATCACTTTCTTCAGTTATAACTGCAACTGAAGAAGGCCCAAAACTGTTGTGTATCACAAAAAATTTGGATAGCTGGTTTTTCTAACCTAGCTAGATTTATACGACAAGTTGAAGGTGAATACCAAGTCCTCATGCATTCAAAAAAAATAATAATAATAATAAATAAATAAATAAGCCAAAAACAATAGTCTGATTGTTAAAAAAGTGTTCCACATTCATGCTATGAACGCAACTGATGATTATACTCTCCGTTAATTGGATGATGGTGATGTTAATGGTAGATCGCAGGATGGTACCATTTATTTAGAATTAACTGTAACAGAAAGGAACTTTACAAAATTGTTGAAAAATTCTGAGCGAGATAGTCATATTAAGAAACCTGAGTAATGTAGCAATTAACAGAGAGTAGTAAAATTAAATAATATCAAAATAATACTTTTCAGTTAGTTTTAGTTATTATTATTTTTTTTTTTTTTTTTTTTTTTTTTTTTTTTGCCATTATTGTTTTTTGTGATCAAGTCATTTTAACTTATGCATAAACTTGCTCCAAAACTTTTGTGGTAAAAAATTTACTAAAAATTCTTAGCTTATAAAAGGAAATGTACAGTATTTTGATTTTCTAATAAACCATTATCTTTTATATGGTTCAGTTTTGGTGCGGTGTCTATGCTGTCACTCAAAGCAGCAAAGCATATTTGCACTTAGTGCCCAGTTTTCTCTAAATACAGCTAGGTAGTTAACTGACTTACTGATATTTTAGTGCTTCATTTCCAAGAAGACTTTTATTTTCCAAGAAGATAATTTGTTTTACTCATTTTACTTGTTTGTGATTTTTATTAGATGTCCTCAGTGAATTAAAGTATTAACTACTGGAAGATTAATGAGGATTCATTTCCTGACATGATGGGTTGGCTTTCTGCTTGACTATTTTTATTATCTCTGCTTACTTTATGTGCAAGCTACTTTCTTTTGGAAATTTGATATGATATAGTATATGAAATTAGTAGTGTGAAATCTAATTACTCTATAGTACTTACTATTAATAGTCTAAACTGGATTTAATTTAGGTGGTGCAAGCTCATTTGTAAAATTAATGCTTAATAAATAATTGAGCTAGAAAACTTTGAAGGTAACAAAAAGGAAATATAATAAATGTAATTTTTAATAAGAAAGGTTATAAAATAAATAAAGGATGAAAAAAAGTTTTGTGTAAATTAGCAGTGTTAATAATTTTCTAAATCTCTCATTATTTACAAGCTCAAATTGGAGATTCAAATTTTTTCTAAGAGAAATGAAATATCCATAACAATGATAAGAACAATTTTGTGTTAAAAAAACATTAATAATCCAGCTAGGATACTTGGAGAAAAACTCAAATTTTATAATAAAAGCCTTGAAAATGAAGTATTAAAAATATCTGTAATTTTTTTTAAATGAGGGCACACAAAAAATGGAATTTTTTAGTAATGCAGTGATTTAAAAAAAAAATGATGAGGAGAAATTATATAAAAAAAATTTAAATGATAAAAATTAGAATTTTTTTAAATGGATGAAGTTAAAAATATAAATTCATGATATTAAAAATTAGACTTCTGAACAAATATTTGCACAAAAAAATTAGAAATCTTAACAAAGGGGCTGAATTATAAAATGTAACGAAAGTAAATGCAGACTATCTTTTTATGAGCAAAACTTTTTTGTGTGTGTGTATGTAAGTATGTAGAGTTCTACTTATTTTTACTAATAATTATTTTATGTTGTGTGATTTCTCATATTTCTGTTCATGTTTCCTAGCCAAGATATAAATTAAATAGAGTGAACATTACTCTATAGTACTTTTACTATTAATAGTCTAAACTGGATTTACTTAAACTGTGGGAACGAAAAGGTTAGAGAGAGTGTGATTTCGCTATTGTGAGCACATGTTTGTTAATTTTTACCAGCTGTGAATCTTAATAGTGGCTATACCTACTTGCCATCAAGTTAGTATCCTGACAGTGTAGGTTTTTCCGAGTCAACCTGATAGTTTAAATCGAATTGTGTAGTCTTGCACTACACTTTACCTTTATATTTAGTATTACATTATCTTTTATTACATAATCTCACCACAAGTGGTCAGTGTTTTGTGTAAGCACGTAAGTCTATGGCATCTGTTAAACACTTTGTGGTAAATTAAAAGGGTTTTTTACACCCTGCCCCTGGCTGTGTGCATCTTCACATCTATATGAGAATTTGGAAGTTCCAACACTTAAGTAGATCCAGTTACATTTTATGATAGCAAAGAAAACTAGATCACACAAATATAAGAACAAAAATTTGTTTTAATAAATTTAGAACTTTTAGGAATGTTTTTCTGATCTGTCCACGAATTGAAACGTTCTAGATATCTCAACCATTTAACAAAAACTTTGTCTTCTCCTTTTTTCTTTTTTTCTTTATTATTTTCTCAGTTTTATAAATTTTATCTTTTTTTATCATATTTAACCAATTTTTTTTTCATAAAACGTTCTTTTAATTTCTTTATTATTCAAATCTTTCAGTCTGTAATTCGAAAGATCCATGTGTGTAAAACTTCACAAATGGTAAAAATCTCTTTTGTAGAGTACTTGAGGTATCCACTTATGAAAAGGTTTTAAATTTAGAAATTCTAATGGTATCACCAATCTTAAATTTAGGTTTTTTAAAAATTTCTATAGGCTTCTATCAATTTTTATAAACTACACTACAGCTTCATTATCTTTATCAGATGCTTCTAGAGGTGTCATTTTTATAGATCAATGATATGAATTGTTATAATTTTAAACTAATTTATCCAATATGTATATATTTGTTGTAGTACCATTTGCGTCCATATATTTTCTAATCTTTTTCATTCTGTCTTTCTTTCAGAATATACTCTCAAAATGTTTTAGCAATTTTGTAAAAATTCTAAAAATTGTGGAAATCAAATAGCACATTTAATTAGTAAACCAATGAAAAAAAAATTAAACGTGTTTGTGACCTATGGGCTTAAATTGTATGCCATTGATCATCACTGCTAGAAATATATATTCTTCTCCCCTTAAAATTTCTAATGAGTGGTTTATATTTTGTATAAAACATCTTGTTGATGTAAAACAGTTTCAGTTTTGCTTTGGGATATTTTGGTTTTCTTTTGTAGTTCTTTCACGCCACAATTATCTGTTTTAGGATTATAACATGCATCTTTTAAGTGGTTTTTTTTTTTTACGAGTTGTTTGAACTTAAAAAAAAATACCTTTTTTAGAGCCACAAACATCATGAATATACCTTTCAGTAAGAGCTTGTTGCGTTTAGAAACAATTTCATTTGAATTTAGTTTTTGTTTTTTCTTTGCATTTCAGACTGCGTCCCTTTCCAAATGTCTTTTTGCTCATAAAGTATGTCTAATATTCTTTCTATACTTTCACCCAGTATGGGATTTGGAATCGCATCTAAATGTTCTATCATATTTTTATCACATTATTTTTCTAGTCTTAGCATCTCTATTTTTCAAGTAACATGTATAAAAAAACTGAGAGGGAAATTGAGCTAATTGAAACCGTTTACAAATCAAGATTAGAAACATTGAAAATTAGAAATAAAAACAACATTATGATTCCTCTCGAGTACTTAGGAAATCAAAGAAATATAGTGAATAAAAAGATTTTGGATAGTGTGAAAGAAAAAGTAAATTTAAATTTACTGTTGTTCAGTATGTATAAAAACAGAAATTAATCTAAAAAGCATTCATTTAGAATACCCAATAAAGTAACGTTGAGTTCAAGTGATTTTGATGCTTTTTATGATTTTGCTGTTGATAAAGTGATCAATAAATCAGCTAATTTTTAGCAAAAAATCAGGATGGACGCTTGCGAAATTAAATACATTGAATTAAGAATTAACAAGCATGATCCTCTTTATGAATATTATGAATCATCTTATATTTATTTACCAGAAAAAATTAAAGCAAAAAAGCAATCATAAATGTAAAAAATAATGATAATAAATTCTATCAACTCTCTTCTATAATAATTTGGCCTATTCTGTTGCTGAATTTCCTATCTCTGTAGATAGTAATAACCAATTTGAGAAATTAAACAGTATATATAAATCTATATGATTAGAAAAAATCAATACATCCATTAGAATTGCTGATAATAAATAGGAAAAGTATTGAAACTTGTTTTATGTGAAAGATGATCAAAATATTCATTATTGTCAATAGATTAATAAGTCATATAACTTCAAATCAAGTATCGCTATGTGATAGGTATTTTATTCAAAAGAAAACTTTAAAACACATGAAATCGATTGTGTGGGCTGTAATCCTGTAAAAGTAGAAATGCCTGAAAAAGACATATATAAAATTTGAAAATTATAAAAGATTGTAAAATCTATGTCTCTTTGGGAACATAAACTTTTAAAAGGGCTTTTGAAGAATTATCATCTAGCCTTTTGAAACAAAACAGAAATCAGAAGAAGTTTGTGTAAGACCCTTTTATTCAAACATAAAATTAACAATGACCCAACTTTGGTAACAAGAAGTCATTCACTTCTGGCTTAGCAGAATAACATAACAAATATTGATTTCAAGGTGTGGTGGATTAACATTCACATAAGAACTCTGGTTTGTAGTAAATCGGCGAGACAAGCCCCTAATGGCAAGAACACTCCATGCTGCTAACGCAAGTCGCTAATAATCATAGAACAACATAGCCTGGAATAGGCAGAAATGCTCTAAAAATAACTTCCAAAACTCTTGCTTAAATAGCGCTTCGTTCTACCTTAATCTGAATAAACTCTCGCTATCTCATTTACATTCTGGTATGGAAAGCATGGGTGAAAGCAATTAATATGAAAGGCTTTTGGATTTAAAATGAACTGTTAGGTAAAAAATAGATAAACCTCACAAGATCAATGAGAGTAGCATTTGCCATTTATGTCGATTTTGAATCCCTTTTGAAAAGTTAGATACTCGTAAACCAGATTCAACAAACTCCTACTTAATGAAATACTGGAATGTAGTTTAAATTATTGCATTAAATATGTACGTGAGTTTTGTAAGCCATCTCTTATTTATAGGGCATCTGATGTAGCTAATAAATTTATATACATGTTAGCAAATGATATTTCGACAAATGAGAAAATATATATATATATTAAGGAAATGATATCTGAGGCTTCAGGTTATTGAAGGACAGTTATAGATTTGCCATTTAACTGAAAAATGTAGAAGACCATCACATAATATTTGCAATTTAAATTGTCAAATTCCTAATTTCTTTCTTGCAATAATTCATAATTTAGTAGGCTATGATGAGCATTTATTTATAAAAAAAAAAAACTTGGATGGAATAAAACCATTGTTGAAATTATTCCAAATACCAAAAATATATATATATACATATACAGTACAAAGTCTGTAATCTGGACGTCCATTATCCGGAATGATCTATTATAATCTAGACCTCAGCCACAAACTTACGTTTAATGCGCGCGTCCACTACGCCCGTATAGCGTTTACCCATGCACGCTTCCGATAGTGAAGAAAGTGACAGAGATGAAACGAAAACAAAAAAATTTTTATTGACAAGTTAATCGGTATTCTCAACACAACAATTACAGGACTTGAACAGTGAAACTTTGTAACTGAACAAGAAATTATGTCTGTTTATAGAATTAAAGAGAAAGTATTAGCACAAAAAACAAAGCAACTTAAACAACTTACATTGAAAGAAATGTTTAATAAAGTAAACAAATAAATATTAAGCTTTTTTTTTTTTTTTTTTTTTTTTTTTTTTTTTTTTTTTTTTTGTAAATTTTAATACCTTTTAGATCAATTATAATTGCTCTTTATTTTGTAAATTACGGTTTCATATTTTTAATTGTATAATTTATGCATCCCATCTTACAAGATTTAAATCGATGATCTATAATCCGGAATCGCCGAAGTCCCGACGAGTCTGGATTACGGACTTTGTACTGTGTATTTATAATAAAATAATCCCAAGAATGAGATTCACTTAAATTTATGCCATCTAGCATTGATAATTTATCACAAAATATCATGTTAATAGGAAAGGGGCTTTTGGTTTCTTGGGGTCTGTACTATTAAACTGATAAATATCTAGTCCATTTGAGATACTGTGTTTCACATGCCTTATGTACTCTTATAAATTTCTTCTACAGAGAAGCCTTCTTTCAGAATTTGATATTTCAAAATTTTTTGAGTGGTTTAGATGTATATTACTTGTATATATTTTTAATAATAGATGTCAATTATCCCTTTGAAAGTGAAGAGTAAAAGCTATTGTAATTTGGAGATTTATTAGATGTTAATTCTGAAGAAAAATGAGTCTAAACTTTGGAAATGAATCTTATCAAAAATATTATGAAATAATTATTATGAAAATAAGTATAAAATTTAATAAATTAGTAAAAATAATTTTACTAAATGGATTAATTATATGTGTGTGTGTGTGTGTGTGTGTGTTGTGTGTGTGTGTATGTATGTATGTATGTTTGGTCAGTGAAATTAGAAACTGAAATTCATTGAAAACTGTATTTTATGAATTAATATTCTTTCACTTTTAGCTCAGCATCTGCAAAAACTTCAAGTCCAGATGTATACTCTGATTCTTTTGACTCTTCATCAAACAGGAAATCATCATCATCAGCATCAAATATGGAACCATTAAAAAGTACTGGCATGAAAAAGAGCTCTCCAATTAGCATCAGACCTCCCCTTATACCCCGTAATATCAAACGTCATGATTCTAGTGGATCTGATGATTCTTACACTATTTCTCATTCAGGTCTGTATTCATTTGTGGTGCAAAACCTATATGGGGGAGGGGGAATAATAATAATGTGGTTCTTTAATAAATACAAAATCATTCAATCTCAAGATCCTACAATTGATTCAATTACAGATATTTATTAAAGTCTTTAGAAAGTTTATCTTTTTACATTTGTTTAAGTTTCGCTTCCGAAGTGAATGAATGTATCAAAAGCTTTTGAAAAAAATATGCATACTCATTAGCATAATCAAATGTTATTTGGGCAGTCAATAATTAAATTGTGGTATACTGTATTTATAATAATACTGTTATATATGAGAAGTATTCAGAAATTGATTTCCATTTGGCAACATTTTCACAAAAAACTCTTTTTCCATACAGTTCCATACTCTTTTTCCAAGTCAATTTATTAGATTCAAAAGCCTCATTATACCATTTTTCAAAAAATTCAAAAATGTTTTTTTAATGTTTGAGAGGTTTAAAAATCTTATCAAATGTAACATCTGGCTCATCATTTATTTTTTTATTAATTATTGGCTGGGTGACATTAAAATTGCTTTTTTTATGCTGATTTTTAAGTGTGTGTGAAACCTGGGAGATGTGCAGGTAAATGTTAGATATTCAGCTAATCAGTGATAAAAATATGGATGGAGAAGGTAATATGTGAAATTTTTGAAAAAACAAATTTGAAATTAAAATTTATGTCTGTTGTTTATGTTATGATAGACTGGACCTAAAATTACTGAAAATCTATCTAAAGATAATACCATTTTATTGTGTATGCTTGCGTAAAAGAACTGTCATCATAATTGAATGAAGAAAACATCCACTTAGCATCATTGCCTAGTATAAGAAGTGTTACTAATGCTATCAATACTTTTTCTTTCAAAAGGTTTTTTTTTTTTTTTTTTTTTTTTTTTTTTTTTTTTATTGTTGTTGTTATTTTTAAATTAGGTATAAGATAGTGTTTTAAAAGTTTAGAATACATGGAAATAGGAAATAAATTTTTTGCTATAGATATAATAAGTAAAACTTTTTTTTTGTAATTTTATTAAATTTTGCTTTAAATTTTACTTCAGAAATAAGTATTTCTGCCTCAAATATTGTTACGTGCTTATGGTTTCATAATAGTTTGAATGCACAAGTCCAGTAAAAGGTTAATAAAATTTATTCTTATCAAAAGAAATATAACAAAATGCTAGAATTTTCCTCAGAGATATTCATACAAGTGTTCACAATACCACGCGATATAATAAGTAGTTATACTTTAAACTACTAAAAACGTTAAATAGAATGCAAAGCACAGCACAGAGACAGCTTATCCGATCAAACAATAACAACAGCTGCTAACCAAACAACTGAGCTGAGATGTCTCTCTCCAGCATTTTATTTCAGTTGGCCGTGAGTTCTAGTAATTTCTTTGTTTCTCAAGATTTCTGGAAACCAATAAGAGGATGGAATTATGTTTACAAGTACTGCAGTATTCAATTGCATTTATTCACTTTAAATTGGAGACATATTCATTTATAAAATGTTAAGTGCACATGCTCCTGTATTTTTACTTTTCCAGTGTAGCTTTACCTTAAAATATGTCTCGTGCTGCATTGCATGGGGAAATAAAGCAATTAAAGTTATAATTCTACTAGAAAATTTCTAACTAAATACAAAATTCATAACAATATTATTTTCATTGTGGATACTTATTTAATAATAAGAACTTTGTCAATGCATGCTATAGAATTTATTTTAAAATGTTGATTTTCATGCTGATGACAAAAGTTTTATTGTAGCAATTGCATTTTGTAAGTCCTTTTTCTGAAAGATATGAAGGGCTGTTATATAAGTGTCAATTATGCATAATGGAATGCAAATTATTATTAATTTTTGTACATGTGTGTTCAGTATAAAATTAAAAAAATAAAGTTAATCACAATTAGTTTTGTGAAATATTCTCTACATGATAGCCATAAATAATTCATGTGTTTCATGTTGAGACAATTTTAAGGTGGGGAAAAGTACCTTAGTGCTTGAATTATGTATTATAAAAAACTTCCTGTTAGTCTCATGATTTTTATATGTTAAAAAAAAACTTGTACTTACGTTTGAAAACTTGATTAATCAGTTTTGTACTCTTAGGTCTGTAACCTGTGTTAAAGAGTTGCAGTCATTGCTGTACCTCTCTTTCACACGCACACATATATGCCTTTGTACATGCACACTTTTCTCCCCTCTTTTCAGCATTCTAAATGAGCTTTTTCTTTTTTTATTCCCCCCCCCCATATTTTAAACTTGGTTCAATTAAATCACACTTTTTAAATCTTATATCTACTTCTTCCAATTTGTGTAAATTTATTTAACTCATCTGCTTCGAAGTATCAATAACAATTATTGGTTTCACACAAGCATTTAGGATGTGGTATATCTAATTATTTATAAATGTTTATCAGCAAGGTTTTTCTAATTTGATTTCATAGAAACTGCTTCTGATCAAAGTGATATTGAAGTTCGTATTCATGCTTTAACACAAGAACTGAAACTACGTAAAGCAGAAGCTGAAAAGTTGAAAAGGGAGAGAAAAAAGAGGTATTACAGAGAACAGCTGAAAGAAAAAGAGCTCTCTTTGCAGAAGCAGCTTGATGTAAGTTTCATTTTTGACATATATGATAATCAAAGCTTTGTTAAAATAAATATTATTTTTTTATTTGTTTGCTGATTATTTTAGATGAAAATAAAATTTGTATTGTGTGAATATGCATGAACATTGTTATTGACCAATTATGTCTTGATAGCAATGTAACTTATTTATACTACAACTAAAATATGGTGAAATCTCAGTTCACAAATGGAATTTACCGTTCATTTCCGAAATGTTTGTTAAGTAAAACTATTTCCTAGAATTAATATAAAATGTATTAATCCATTCCTGGATCACAGATGATTGGGTATTTAAACCTTACCCAATCGATGTACACAAATTCATGTTGGTAAAATTAAAATCATTAAATTTAAGATGAAAATGATAAACGCATTGTTAAGCAGATGAAATAGATAAATTCTTAATTAAATTTTACCATATAAAAAGGAGAGTAGATGACATCAGTGGAATTTGGAAGTTAAGCAAAGAGATGTTGTTATTTGAATAAAGATTTTCCTTTTTGCACGAAATTCATGGATCATAGAACTAAGATCATATGTTATTCTCTTCTCTTCCTACAAAGATATTCCTTTTACAATCACCTTTTATTTTTTTAATGGAGTCAGTTCCTTCATGTTAAATTCATTTTCATCATTCTCTAGTGACTTCCCCATGTGCTTATTGTTAACTCCCAACAGCATGGTTTTATTTAGAGATACAATATCATAGATAACAAACAAGCGGAAAAAAAAAGGAGGGGAAAGAAAAGAAACTAAATATCAAACTTTTAACTTTTTGCATGCAACACAATCTGGCCATTATTTCCTTTAGGTGGAATTCATGCGGCTGATAGTCAGCTGTGCTCCAGCCTTTGTTTAGGAACAAAAATATTAAAAATGATGTTCCCAGAAATCTCTGAGTGTTAATTTTGCATTGTAATTTACTTCGAAGCACATTTAAAAAAATCATTTGTTGCCAGTTTGAATATTTGTAACTTAAAATACCAAAGTAAAATTTTAATTTGCTGACCAAAAATATTTTTTCTGTTTCTTTTTAATTATAGCTAATTCTGTAGAATCCCTATAATTTTTAATTATGTTTCAATAGTACAGAAAGATTATTTTTATGAATTTGTTAATGGTTAAGCATAATGTTTGAACAAGAAATATATTACAAAATGTAATAGTTTTGACAAGGCAAGGCATGGAGTGAATCCTTGACTAATATTAAACATGGTAAGATGTAGATCCATAATTCAACCAAAAAGAGTTAATATTATTTAAGAAATCTTTTTTAAAGCCCTTTGCAATTTTTTGTAAATTAAACTAGTCATAAACATTGGTACTAATATTCTTTCTTAAAAAGTACTACTTATCTTCCTTATTATTCTTCATAAAAGGAAACATCTGTTTTGTATATGATAATGAGTGTTTAAATCTGTTTTACTTCTTGAAATCATTATGTATATGCTCTTTCTTCAAATTAAAGCAGTATATAAAGATCAATTTTATTCTGTCTTTTTATTTATGTATCTTTAGGCTTATAATCAATTTGTGCAACAGACAAAATTGGAGTTAGAATATCAGCGTAAATGTATCACATCCTCAACTCAAACTGTGGATACTTCTGTTGTGAAACCTCAAATTAAATGGCCACGCACAGATCAAACAGCTGACTCAAGACGCTTGAGGAAACAGTCAACATTATTTACTGATGCAATTTCTCCTGAGGTTCATATTTATCTTTTTTATGAAATGTGCTTTTTTTCCACATCTGTAGTTTTATATCTTATTTTGCATATTATTTAATGGTATCTAAATACTGAGGTGCAGCATGACTTGCTGTCACAAATTTTGTGTATTAATAATATCTCTGGATGCATTTTGCACCAACAAACATCAGAGAATCACAACTTGCTTATTTACAATTAGAAGTATTATTGTAATTAGCATAGACTCCAACTACTACGGATTCTCCGTAGTTTCTACGGAAATTCATGAAAAACTACGAGCTACGAAAAGTATGGAAAAAACTACGGATTTTACAGAAACAAGAGCAGGAGAACCAGTACGCAAAACGGAACCAACTAATTCATCCGATGATTGCCTGAATACTCGTGTTTATATATATCACGTGTTGAGTGCGTTCCCTAGTTTTTTGAAGAATTAGCCAATCGTAGATCAGTAACTCCAACCGTTAACGACTTATCAATAGTTCCACCCAATTGTCTGTCTCCCAGGTTCCTCGCTGATGCGTGTTTAGGCTGCATTCAGGCTGCATTGTGTAGTTTACGGCGAGAGCTTAGCGTTTGTCTTGTGAACTGTGAATCAGGTGAAAGATTTTTAATCATAATGCTGCCTCGAACGAAGAAGCCAAAATTATCAAAGCAGAAGTTTAAAGATTCATATTCTTCAGAATTTCCATGCATTAAAGCGTCCGAAATTTCTGTGAATCACGCACACTGCAGTGTATGCAACAAAGACTTCTCAGTTGCTCATGGCGGAAAAGATGACTGTAAATGGCATGTGTTTTCTCAAAAGCATATAGAACTTGGCACCGTAAAAATCTAAAGAAATAAACAAATTTCTTAATAAAAGATGATGAAAAGATCCTATAAAAGCCGGATGCTATTTTGTTCGTTTTTTAATTGAACATAATCTACCGCTTTCTGTTTCAGATCATTCCAAAGAGCTTTTCAAAGCAATGTTTTTCCTCCGGATTCTGCCATAGCAAAAAAAATTTAGCTGCGGTCATACCAAAACTGCTGCTATTGTGAAAACGCTTTCAGAAAATACTGTTGCTGATATTATAAAATCAGTGTGCAGTACATCATTTTCTTTCTCTAAGTACTGATGGAAGTAATGATAACATGATAACAAACTGTACCCATTGGTTATAAACATACTACAGTAAAGAAAAGGGAGTGATAATTACTTCATTGATTTCTATTTTAGAATGCACGAATAATACAGGAGAAGGTATTTTTTTAATTGTATAAATGAAAACTTTAAAAACAAAGGTTTAGAATGGAAAAATTGCTTATCATTTTCTTCAGATAATGCTAGTAATATGATTGGAAAGTTTAAAGGTGTAGCATCATTTATCAAAATGCATCAACCAAGTATAATCACCCGAGATTGTCCGTGCCACCTCTTGCATATAGCTGCAAAAAAAGCTACTGAAAAATTAATTGGCTCAGAAATTGAAATGTTGATAATAGATATATATTTTTACTTGGAGAAAAGTTTGAAACGGAAGCATAGCTTCAAAGTTGCTCAACAAATTTTGAGACAGAATGCAAAATCTCATAAAATTTTGAAATATTGCAGTACGAGATGGTTGTCTCTTTTAGAATCTATAACAAGGATTTTGTAACAGTGGGATGCTGTGATAAATTTTTTTGGAGATAAACCAGATAACAGTGAGAATGAAGGAAAGAGATTGCAAAACGTTAAAAAAATTTTACAGTCACCGACCACCAAATTGTACTTGTTATTTTTGAAAAATACTTTGCCTTTGTTTATAACAGTAAATATTAATTTGCAACACACAAGCTCCTTATATACATAAATTGAGAAGAGAACTTTTTGAACTTTAATGAATTTTTTTGTTAGATTCGTAAAACCATCAGTAATTTCTAAAGAAAATGAAGATGTTACTCTAAACGTCTATTCCATTTCAGAAGTATAGTAAACAAAAAGAAAATGAAAATTTAGTGATTGGTGCGGAAACAAGACTATATTTAAAAAATGCCAAGTTGAATGAAAGTGAAGTGAAATCATTTTTCAATTCTGTGCGAGCTTTTTTTGTAACTGCATGTTCATATATAATTGATAAATTTCCACTGAGTGATCCATTTCTAAAACATGCTGAAGTTGCTGACATCAACTTGAGAACTAAAGTCTCATTTTCATCTGTTCTTTACTTGATGAATACTTTTCCATCCATTATTGATGAAAAATGTCTTAATCAAGTAGAAATTGATTTTCCATGTATCAAGTAGATGATTTGAAAGAAATTGTAGATTTGCATATTGATATAGCATGGGGAGAAATTGCCAAATTAAAAAATATGAATGGGTGTATTAATACAAAGTATTGCCTTCTGTAATGCTTGCTGTCTTAATAATATACCTCATTCAGATGCAGCTTGCGAAAGAATTTTTTCTATTGTTAAAAAAATCAGACGGAATTTCGACCAAATTTAGGTCTTAAAACTCTTGAAGCAGTTTTGATTGAAAAAATAAATATGCAGGCAAATGAAGAACTGTGTTATAAAAAAACATTCTCAAAATCAGAACTTAAGCTTGCTAAGCATGCTACATATAATCTTTGCATTCATAAATTATGCATATTTTGTTTAATACTTATATGTATCATTCTTGGTTATTTAAATTTTATTTCCCTGTAGAAATCATATCCAGAATAAAGATATGATTTATAGCTTCTGATTTTTTCTATGATTAGTAGTGATTTGAAGTACTTTTTATTAGTGAATGCTTGAGGAGTTAAAAGAAAATTTCTAATTAAATGTGCATATAATTTACAAGGTATATTTTTAATTATTCAGTTTTATATATGTATATGGATTTTAAATGTAATAAAATTGATTACATTAATTATTAATTTAAAATTAATGAATGGTTAATTACAACATACGCTACGCGCACATTTTCAAAGTTGTAAAATGTCGTTCGCGCGTTGACTACTGACAAGGTTGCTGAAGGTTGGAGTCTATGAATTAGCCATTGAACATTGAATCTTAATGTCATGTAAATGCCATTTGATAGTTTTTACTGATATATATTTCATTTAATGATTGCAAATGATGTCTCAGATTTGATACTAATTTACAAATTGACCTTGCAGAGTCATCCATTTGATGCTATGCTTAGTGGTACAGTATGTTTTAAACTGTGTCATCAGTGTGTTCATTTATGGTGTTTCTCATATTTTGATAACAGCACTGTACTGTATTCAGATTTCTGTCTAAATGACTAGCTGTTACACACATGGAAAAAAAATCATTTGATGATTTTATCCCTCAGAAGCAGTGACTTTTTCTTTCTAAATATTTCCTGCAGTTCTAGAGACATGATTAAGTTCAAGAAGTGTTATCTTTTTATGTATTTTACCAGTATTCAGGCATGTGACCTTTAGTTTATACACTTTGATGTGTTGCATATGTCATTTATTCTAATAATTCTCTTGTTTGCATAAGTCTTCAGATTCTTATGGTGTTCATTTGAGGCAGTTATAATTATATTTATGCGAGTTGACACAATGTAATAACTATTCATTAAAATTTTGTAAAAATTAAATTGAATTTTACTTAATTTTAATATGAAATATGCATGTGTCTTCCATATCTCAGCATGTTGTATGTACAACTGGAATTATATTTTTTCCCTCCTTGAAAATTTCACAATTGTTTAATTTTTCCTTCCTTCACTTTATATTTCCTGTGTTGGAAAAAGGTATTCTAGCTTAAAGCAGTGTTACAACTATCCTCTCCTTCTAGTAATGTTTGCATCTGTGGCATATATTTTGTAGGAAAAGCAAGATTTTCAGCATGTTTTGTATTGATTGTAAATATGATTTCGATAACCATTTGAATAAATGTGAATTGTTGAAAACTATTCTTTTTAGATGTTTAGCTTATTTTTGTCTGTTATTATAAGTAGGAAACATTATTTTCTTGCGTCATCTTGTCTAATTAAAAAACACATCTTTTTTTGGTGGGGGAGGGGTCTTGTATTTAGGGTTCAGATTTTTATCAAATTTTATTATTTGAATTTCTGTTGTTTCGGCAGTCTCTGTTTCTTTTTAAATAATAAAGTTATAGATTTCAAATATTTCTTAATTTTTTGTATACTCTCCCTTATTCTAAATGCTCAAAAAAAAAGTATTTAATCAGTTTATTTCCCTAAGAACTGAAGCTCAAGTAAAATTGGTGATATCCAATCACTGCTTACTTAGCCTTTAATGCAAACTGTTTATTTTATATAGTGCCAAATTTATTTAAATTTGTTCTGTATTATGCATTCTTTTATTAATTATAATTGTATATATTTTATTATTTATTTATTTCAACAGAAAAAGGTTTCTGAGAGTGCAAGTGACAGTTTTGAATCAACAGAAGGTCCTCCGAGTAGTCTGCAAAATAAAGGTATGCTTATTTACTGTATTAATTTATTTATTTTCCTTCTTTTTTTTTTTTTTTTTTTTTTTTTTTTTTTTCCAGTGCACTAAAAGCCTAACAAACCAGAGGCTGAAGTAACCAAAATAGTTTAGAAAAATTAAGCAAATGACACTTTTAAAGCCGTTGTAAAGCACATATAACACACTCTTGCCAAAAAGTATAATTTTGCAACTTTTGAAGGTTGCTTAACCATGACTTCACAAATTTGCTTCTTTTCAGTGCCCAGGCCAGACCCACCCAAATATTCTGTGGAATCATTAAGTCTCATTTGGCGAAAATCTTGGTTCTCCAAGTGCTTCTTTTAGCTTAGGGAACAAAAAAGTCACTTGGTGCCAGGTCTGGTGAATAGGACGTATCTTCAAGCAGTTGAAATCGTAATTCATGGATTTTTGCTATCATAACTGCTGAGGTGTGAGATGGAGTATTGTCTTTGTGAAACAATTTTTTTTTCTTTTGCAAATGTGGACATTTTTCTGCAATTTTTGCATTCAGCTCATCAAGTAACATTGCATAGTATGCTCAGATAGTGATTTTCCCTTTTCAAAATAATGTATTGAGACAATGGCTGTCCCAGAAAACTGTTGCTATCACTTTCCCAACAGAAGGAACAGTTTTTCCCATTTTTGGAGCGGATTCTCCCTTTGCAGTCCACTGTTTTGACTATGTTTTGGTTTCTGGGCTGTAATGATAAATCCAGGTTTCATCTACGGTGATTAATAGTCGAAAAAACTATTAATCACTTGATTTATTTTGCCGATAGGACTGTGCAAATATTCATTCGGACACATTTTTCAGTCAAAAGTGAACAAATACAGCACCCAACATGCAGCCAGCTTGTGCATATCTAAATCTTGTTTCAGTATGTGGCAAACAGGCTTTTTGGACATGCTAATAGCCTCTGCTATCTCTCCAACCTTGATTTGATTTGTCATCAGCACCATTTGGTGGATTTTAGCAATGTTTTTGGCTTTCCTGAACATTCATCATCATGCAAGCTGGTACAACCACATTTAAATTCAGCTGCCCAAAATTTCACAGTAGTAAATGATGGAGCAGAGTTCCCTGTACTCTGTGTCCAACTCAACTCCTCTTTAATCTTAGTAGGTGTATAACCTTTCAAAAACAGGTCTCTAATAATGACATGATATTCGATTTTTTTCCATTTTTCCAAAAATGGTCACATCAACTTACAAAAATCATTGTCAAACAAAAAATTTGCATTCAAAATAGTTGAAATTAGTTGAAATTTTGATTGTTTGTTATCAATTGATGCCTAAATAAGTTTCCCACCACCACCACTTTGCCATCTACATGTTAAGGTCTTAAACTTTTCTGACAGCCCTCATACTTCTTATTTTAATCTATGCCATGTGACATCAAATCTTCATAAACCTGTGGCCTTAGCAAGTTCATGACGAAATGAGGTATAAAAGAAAGAATCAGCATTGGAAACATTGCCCTCAACCTTCTTTGAAATTTGTTGTACAATTATACATGTAAAATATAAATATTTCAAGAAATTTTGTATTTAATGCTAATTACTTTATAAATTTTATGAAGTTGGCTTATTCTCGATTTTTTTTTATAATTTATGTTAAGTATTAGATTATGTTTAACAGTGTATATTATTACACATCTGTTTTATTCTTTGAATAGTATTACAAAAGTGAATTGCAAGCACTGATAATTGCTTTAATTTATTCATTTCCCGTTTGCTGACAGTTCTTTAACTTTTTTTTTCATTGATTTTTCTTAAAAGTCCTTAAAGTACTTAATTTCTATGTGGAAAAAGTTTTTGAACCCTATAAAAATATGTTTTATTTAATTAAAATTGGCAATTGTATTTGCTTTGTGGGAGTTTATGTTTTTTAAAATAGTTTTCTCCCTGTCATTATATTAAATGGTGGTCAATTTAGATGCAAATTTTAAAAATGCATTATTTGAAATATTGCTTTTCTCTTCTAGGAGCAAGTTCAAAAGAACTATCTGACAATTTAAAATCAGATTTGAATTCTCAGAATGAAACATCAGCAAATTTATCATCTTCTGTGGTAAAAGACATAGCAGAAGCTACAAAAGGAGATGAACATACATCAAATGAATCTTCAGAAATCCAAGAAGTATCTGAAATATTACAAAACATCACTCATTCTTCAAATGAAGAATCCTTTAGTGTAAAAGAAATTGTACATAGTTCATCAGATAAATTGCTTGTGGAAGCAAAAGAAGTAACTGAATTGCTAGACGCTGCTCACGATCTGTCTGGTGTTTCTTTGGAGAGTGTTGAATCTTCTGAATCTGCTCAAGGGAAAGTCAATAGTCAGAGTGATGTTGAATCAAAAAGTACTCTGCATTCAGACACTTTTGTGTCTGAATCATCATCAAAAACACTGGAACTTTCAAGTAATGAACAACTGCCAAGTAGTAATGTTATTTTGAGAAAATCCATCTCAGAGGCAGGGCATAATTCTGAGCAAAGCCTTAATAGTGGTAAGAAGGCAACAGATGATACTACTCATACTACAGATGGAGATTTATCTTCAACTTCTCAATCAATGTCAAACTCTGCATCTGTTGAAGAAGAATTGGAAAGTGGAGACTTGACTGAAAGTTTCAAGTGCGATAACTCAGAAGGATGCCCATCTCCAAGTAAATTGGCCAGTGTCACTTATGTAGCTGATACTCTAAATGTATCTGTTCCTCTGGGTATAAATGAAATATCAATTACTAATAATAGTAATTCTCATTCATCAGACTTAGAAATCTTAACCAGTGGTAGTAGCCAGAATGATGAAAACACACCTTTGGTTACCAAAAAGAGTCCTAAAACTGAAACATTTATTGTAAATGTTGTTAATTATGTTTTTTCTTCCCTGCTTGATGATGCATTTAGATGTATGCAACACATATTCAGTGAAAATTTCATCAAAAAGTCAAAAACAGTGAACTCAGAATCAAAGGTAGGATGTAATTTTTCCAGTTTATCTAAAAATTATCACAATATTTCAAAATGTACCACTGCAGCTAGCTTAGAATTGACAAAAAAATATATTTTAGAACCATCTACTGATTTTGTCATAAAAAGGACTGATGAAAAATGTGCTGAAACAATTTCCAAATCTGTCTTAGATGAATATCTGAAAGATGCAATTCATTCGGTCATGGAACTTTATAAAAATCTTCATGTTAGTACAAAAGGCTGTAATGCTGTACATCATGAAAAATTAAGTGAATCAGAATCAAAGAACAGCAAGAGTAAAACTGTCCATCATGAGCTTGTTGAATGCTCAAAGAATCCAATCTCTAACATATTTTCATCAAATGCAGAGAATTCCATAGATTTATTAAAGAATAATGTCATTCCGCATGTGCAAGATTTTAATGATAATAGCATTTTCAACAAGCATCCAAACTGGCTTGAAGATAGTTTTATAGCATCACAAAGTGAAGCTCAGCTTCAGCAACAACTGTTACTTCAGTACCCATATTATTATCGTAAAATCCCTAATAAACCTCCACCTCCATATACACCACCTGTAACTGTTGAACAGACTTCTCCAAATATTTACCAACTTACTGTAGTTAAAGAAAAAGTTGTTGAAAAGGTTGATACTGTTAAATATGTCACAAAAAACATTGAAAGTGTTGTTGATTCAATAGTTGATGTTTTACTCAGTGGTAAAAGAAAAGGACTGATGATAAATGAAATACCTTCGCCAGATTTTAGCTCACTTTTTCAGAAGTTAGGCCTGACAATGCCCTCTCAACTAAGTTTTCTTGATCTGATATTTGATTTATGTAAAGAAATATCTTTGAATTTATACAGGTAAGAATTTTAAAATTTTTCAATAATATTTGTTAATGTTTAATAGTTATTCTTCAATTACACTTGGAAATTGCAATTGTGTACTTTTTTTTTTTTTTTTTTTTTTTTTTCAGTGTATAGTGAATTCTTTAGTACATCTCCAACTTATTAAGCATTTAAAAAATTTTCATGTTATTATTTAACTATGAAGTTTCATAATTGGCTGTGGTTAATTTGTACATCAGAAGTAGTATTTAGATTCAAGATTCTTTGCTACTGTATTAACTCTTTATTTATATTACTTTGCTTTCTCATTTTTTATATGATTAAGAAACCATTCTAATGAATACAGATTTTGGAAACTGACTGTAGAGTAAATATTTGTACAAATTTAGTAAATGCTATGTAAATGCATTATTTCAAAAGCATGTCTAATGAGCTTTGGTGAGATCATAATGTTAAATATGTAATGAAATTAAATGCCTTTATATTGCTTTAAAAATATAAATTTTTATTTTTTTTTTTAGTATTTAGACTCTGTTTAAGTATTGCTGGAAAAGTGTATCATTTTTTATTCATATTTGTTCTTGTTAAGAATGTTGTGTAGCAGTTTCTAATCTGTACACCTAGTCAAAAAAAAAAAAAAAAAAGAGGGGGCACAGTGTTGTATCTCCTGTTGTACTCACTCAATTGATGAAACAAAAAATGCAAGTTGCAGATGACATGAAAAATGCAAGTTATACTTGTAAGTGTATATATAGCTTTGTTTAAAACATATGTAGTTTGACAAAAATTGGACTTTCCTGAAAAGGTGTTTCCCTTTTTTAGTCCAGAGAGGCATTGTCTCTGTAGGACTATTGTTTCCGTTTTGCGATTTTGCATCGATTCACTACAAATGGCGAATCACTTTTTAAACTATTGCCACAAAGTATTATCGCCCTGTGTTATATTTAAAGAAATTAAATAATGAAAAATCTGCATAAATGTATGTATATTTCTCGCATTGCGATGGTACATAGAGCCGTCGAGTTTTGAATGACATAATCCTCCTACGAATATGGGCATGTGGAAGACCAACTTTAAACTTTTTAAACACGTTATCTAAATTGAGTGGATTTCTTGATCACCTCTCAGAAATGAAATTTTTTTCTACATGAATAACAAAGAAATCAAGATTACTTTACTGTAATCTTTATCGTGCAAGTCTGTGTTGTTAACAAACTCCCAAGTGTAACAGTTGCAGCAATTGCTAATATTGAAGCACTTTTAGTAGAACATGGTTATTTACTACCACCTCAAAGGAGCTTTCTCGTTGATTATTTCCATGTTTTTTATAATGTATTTTTTAATAATTTTTAAAGAAATTTTAAATTCTAAATTCATATTTAGCAAAGTTTTCCATGCTGGCATTTTTTAAGTTTTAAGTATCTATGTTTATAATTGTAATAATATACAGTGCAAAGTCAGTAATTCAGACATCTATTATCCGGAATGATCTATAATCCGGACCTCAAAGCCACAAACATTTTTTTTATTGCTTTACGCATGCGCGCATTGAAAGAAATGTTTAATAAAGTAAACAAATAAATATTAAGCTTTTTTTTTGTAAAATTTGATACCCTTTATATCATAATTGCTCTTTATTTCATAAATTATGGTTTCATATTTTTCATTGTATAATTTCTGCATGCCATCTTACCAGATTTAAATTGATGATCTATAATCCGGAAAAAACCCTAATCCAGAATCGACGAAGTCCCAACGAGTCCGGATTACGGACTTTATACTGTATTATAAGTATACTTATTTCATTAAAAGTATTTGTTAGAGAAAATAATGTTTATCATGAAGTTTAATGAAGCTAAATTTCACATGAAGCATTTATTTATTATGCAATATCATTATTTTACAGTGAAACAATTGAAAAACCTGAACCTTGGCTTAGACCTCGAAGGTTGACACCTAAGCCTTTGTTTCCTGAAGACAGAAACAAACTATACAGTATACTTCTACAAGAAGTTCAATATGAATTAAAACTTTTATCTAAAAATTCAACAGAATCTCAGAAAAAGCGATCCCTCTGGTCTGTAATGAAATTAGGACGAAAGAAAAGAGATTTTGTTGATACAATTTTAATTAGTGAATTAAAAGAAGAAGAACCAGATTGGATCAGTTATGACCAGGATGAAGTCACTGTCAAATTTCAAATTGCTGATTCAATTTTAAATGTTTTGCTTGATGACACTGTTCATGTTATTCAAGACCTTGACAAAAGAATTAGAAAATTATCTTGATTAAGAAATTTGTAGCTGTATACGAAGTGAGTATATATCATTATTATTGTTTTAATTTGGTTACAGAATATATTTACTATTAAATTAAGGGAAATTTTCCATTTTGGGTAATCTTCAGTTATCCATAAAAATAGGTAGTTTTCTGCTAAAAACCTTACCTTACAATTTTGGCACCACATCAATGCATTTTACGTTATTTCTTTTCCCATGCCTGTGGCTTGTTATTAGATGAAACAGCAAGCCAGAACAATAATGTGGAAATATTCTCTAATTTCACAGAAAAAGCCCATTGTATTGGAAGAACAGGGCCCACATTATTATTATTATTATTATTATTATTATTTTGCAAATTTTTTCTTTCATCAGTTTCCACAAATTTTGTAGCATTATTAGTTTTAATATTAGGATTAGGTAGCAAAAAATTGGAACATACTTCTCTTGTGTAATTATTCCAGTCAGCTGTTGTAATTCATTTGGAGCAAACCTTAGTTCACAAAACTTAAGACAATTAACTCATGACATCATTAAAATGAATCATATGGGAGTAACAAAAAGTCCAGCAAATCACGTTTGCATTCAGACCCTTCTAGCATTACTATTTCAGCTTTGAATCACATCCATTGTGATTTAAAAAAAAATATTAAATGAAAAATGTGGTTGTGCAAATGATACTTATGAAGATAATTATCGGCAGGAAAAAAGCCAGACCAAATTAACAACGTCTGGTGCCAAGGAAATATGCATTTTGTCAAATTCTTCAGAATTTTTTTTTTTTAAATTGGCATAAATTTGGCAATTGTTTATTATTGATTGTAAATATTTATTTAACCATTACTTCATCTTCAAATTACTGATTACTATATAAATTGTGTTGAAAAAATGTATACAGTCAAAAGTCGTTAATCTGGACCTCAAAGCTACAAACTTTTTGTGCAAGCGTTGACGCATGCACGTAATACCTTTACGCATGTGCATAATACGTTTACGCATGCACGTTTAATGTATAACGGACGGTATAAACTAAGCTAAAATTATCTAATTATCTATTTCAGTTAATGTTGCAGATTGCATTGTTCCTTAATCTTCGAATTGGACCCGGCTTAATATTTTTTGAAGACTGTTAGAGCAATTTTATAAAAGTAAGTAGGAACTTTCGATTATGTCAAATAGAATTTCCGATGCTGGATCTACAAAGGGAAAGCATGTTTTGATGTCCATCAAACAAAATTGGAATTGCGCTGGGCAAAAACATGGATAACTCAGGCTCAGCTTTGTTTCTCTAACCATTTCGAAATCTGTTTTTCAATTTCAGCTGACTGCTGCTCTCTGCGATTGGGGGGGGACGTCGCGGCGCGCAATGACCTGGAAAGTTGATCTGTCAGCACTATCCTTATCTTCAGAGTCAGATGTTTTTATTTTAATTCGGCTTATAATTCGTTACTAAATGTAGTATTTCATCTCGATGTACTCTGTCTTTGATATGAATTTAAATCAAATTCCTCGTCATTATAAATATCACGAATACAAATCAAATAGTTTTCTGGTTGCAATTTTCTAATTTCGACTATGTGTAATGTATGCTTTACGCATGCGTGCATTGAAAGAAATGTTTAATAAAGTAAACAAATAAATATTAAGCTTTTTTTTGTGTGTGTGTAAATTTTGATACCCTTTAGATCATAATTGCTCTTTATTTCATAAATTACGGTTTCATATTTTTAATTTTATAATTTCTGCATGCCATCTTACCAGATTTAAACTGATGATCTATAATCCGGAATCGCTGAAGTCCCGACGAGTCCGGATTAAAGACTTTTGACTGTACATATTTTATGTACTTTACAAGTATTTTTATTTATATGAATTACAGTTAATTAAGTTTATAATATATTCAAAAGATAATATTCATTAATATTAGCAACTTTGTTTATAAAAGATGTTTTTAACACTATATAGAACTATTGCTATATGCCAATTGTTAAAAGTTTTTTTTTTTTTTTTTTTTTTTTTTTTTTTTTGTGTGTGTGTGTGTGTGTGTGTGTTACAATTTAGCTTTAATTAAATTCTTTTAAACTTTTAATAATAAACTTTCCTTTTTGAAGTATTAGGCTGTAATCTGAAGGGTGTGGTTTTTTTAACTGTGAAATTTAAATATAAGTTTTTAATGTATACTTATATTTTCCATTAACACATTATGTAAATATAAATTATAATTTAGATTAACAAAATCCCCTTAATTTTAATTTCGTATTCCCCTCTCTATTCTATAAAAATTAATACCTTTTTCTGCACCGTGTCATTTTGAGACTAATTCATGTCATAATACAGTTACATAAATGCTGGTTATGTAAATGGAACTAAAACTCAAGCAGCAAATAATAATTTTACATCATTCTTAATCAATTATCCATTCAAATGCATTGAAAACTGAAACTACTCGTTCTGAATTAAGATTTCATCCTGAACATAAGTCACTTTCTGCACTTCGGACTAGATAGACTGCTACTTGCAATTTCTCTTCTTAATGCAAAGCTGTCAAAATTGTAAATGTTTCTGAAGTAGGCAGAAATTAGAGTACCAAGTTATTTTGGGCCACCAGATGTTTTTCAAAATAAAAATGACTATATGAATCAACATCTTCAGTTCCTACAATATTACATCTAAGTCTGTTTTATTATATTTCTATATAATCATGATAATCTAAATTCTTTTATTTTGATTAGTGGAACAGAATATAAAAGAGAAAGCATCTTTAAATGTGTTGCAAAATCCAAATATAAAAGGCAAAAATTTTGGCATTTTATATTATCAAACAATATAATCCTATAAATGATAAGTTATAATTACACTTGCATTTTTGCAGAGTGTAGGTAAAAGTTATATTATGCAGTTATAAGAAAAACTTAAGCTGAATATTTTGTTTCCTTGTTATTTAACCCCTTAATGCACCAATAAAAATTCAGAAGGTTTGTCAATTTTTTTGTTTTAATTCAACTTCTTTTAACCTCTGTTTTTATCGTAACTCAAAAGTGTAGCAGATATATTCTGTTCTAGCGATAACTAAAAAAAATTCTCGACTGCATTTACTTGGGTGTGTGGAATAATTTAGTTCTGTGTACCCAAGTTAACTCGGCTGAGTGCATTAAAAGCTTAAAAAAGAAAGGAAATAGTAAATTTCTATGAGTTTCTCAACATTTCAGTAACATCACACCTTTCATGTTT